AAACGGATTTTTTTAGCCAATGGGTTCCCACCACAGCGGTGGTGGATTGCCCCTCCCCCTATGGCACCCACGATCGAACCCCCAGTGAAATTTATTTCCTACAATGGAAAAAAAAAATTGATTTTTGAGAAGAAAAAGGATGGGCATTTCGCTATAGCTATTTATTGGAACTTGAAAATGAATTCAATGTTATTTTATTTAACTCTTTCACAACAAAGGCTTAAAGCCCAAGCAGAAAACTAAGCCAAGAGACAAACAACCCATTGGGCAAGTTACAGATGGCTCTTGTACTGGAGAAATCCAAGAAATCATCTACCACATCAAGAAGAGGATTCTCGAAGAAAGTGAACCAAGATCAGAGCAAAAGTCTGAAATTCTACAGTTGGAACTAAACAACATATGCGTTTAGGCATTCCGTTATTTATTTTGCCAACTTATTACATTGAACATTTTTCTCAAGCTTGTTCAAAGATGCAAAACCTTGCGTTCACATTAGTGAAGCCTCCATCTACCAAAAGATTATGTCCACTAACATACTTTGACTCATCACTTCCCAAGTAAAGAGCAGCTTCAGCAATATCTTCTGCCTTAAGAACCTCTCCTTTAAGGTTGGAATAAACACCATGAACTCCATCATCATCAAGCTTAAAGAAGTCCTTCGCCAACGGCGTGGCAACTATATATGGCGACACACAATTCACCCGAATACCGTGTTGTCCAAGCTCTATGGCCGTATTTCTCACCAGCCCTAGTACTCCATGCTTTGAACTCGTGTACGCATGTGATGCGCACCCCCCAATGGTGGAACAAGCACTGGCAGTGTTAATTATGCTTCCTTGGCCAGCTGAGATCATAACACGAGCCGCATGTTTGATCCCCAAAAACACACCAACCAAATTTACCCCAATCACTTGCTCAAATTCTGCCTTGTCATTGTCAAGGATGTTGGTTTTTGCTGTACCAGCTATGCCTGCATTGTTGAACATGATGTCTAGCTTTCCATATTTGCTTGTGGCTGTTTTAACAGCATTTTCGACGTCTTCTTCTTTCGTTACGTCGCAATGGACGAATGAAGTGGACGAAGAGCTTAGGTCTCTGCAAATAGATTCAGCCAAGTCGTCTTGCACATCTGCAATCACAACTTTAGCTCCATGTTTTGAGAAGAGTCTTACAGTGGACTCTCCTATGCCGCTCGCCCCACCAGTGATTAGTGCCACTTTACCTTCAAGCCTTCAATATTGACGCAGAGTGTTAGTTTCAGTAAAAACATAAATAACAATGGCATCACTTTCATATGGTGAAAGTCTTATGTTCCACTCATCAGCATAAGGAAGTTGGATTTAGTATTACATGGATTTGATATAGAAATTACGAAGGGGGAAATTTTGAAATAAAATAGAAGAGTAATTTAGATCTGATCCCTAGCATATAAGATCTATAGATTTTATAAGTGCATCTTCTCCATTGGTCGTTCTTGTAAGATAATTAGCAACATATGAATGCCCTTGACCAATACGAGAGGGTGCTATGATAATCGTCAAAAGTATGAGGTTTAAATCATAGATTCATAATTCAACCTAAAGAGGCAGTGAGCCGACCTTCTTGCACTCAAATTCAAACCCTCCCCATATATGTGTCACAAATACATTATATACTCTTTTTTTGTTGC